AATTATTTTTCAGTGGCCCGAAATATTTAGTTAATGCATCAATTGAGTACCGACAAGCGAGGCAGTACTAGAAAAATAGTAAAGGTAGTAAGCGACTATAAGAAAAAGTCAAAACGCTGCCTATATTTAGTGGGTTCAAATGTAACCGACGGTAAAACCAAGCTAAAATTATTTCGCATTTTCCAGTGTACAGAAATTACCGTTTGACTCTATATATGTAATCATGACAAAAATGATAAAAATTTTGGCTTATTTGTTTAATAAATTCTACTCGTGATATCAAAGGTTACGTAACAAAGTAATAAATAGAATTAAATAAATAAAATCTAAACTGAATTCTAAATAAACTCATACATTGTCATTATTTAAAAAAAGTTTTTGACTAGGAAACTCATCTTTTTTAATCTGGTTAAAATAATACATAAATAACAAAGCTGGAGAGTAAGAAAATTGAAAGAAGCGGCATATCCTGTCAGGCAGATGTGTAAGTAAGGACAGGGTTGATTTTCGCATCGTCTGGTTTTCCTTACTCACTCGGAAGCATCTACCTTTGTAAATATAGAATCACCTGAGAATAATAGTGTCTATGTGGCTCATGTTTGTTGGAATAAATCGAGCTGGTTAGTATATTAGTCACTATTTTTTTCTGCTTGCCACTTATCACGCTAAAAAAGATATTTCTCTCTATCCTTCCAGAATGTACATCTGAAAAAGACTGTTGAATGAATTCACCGAGACGTTGTAATAATTAATGCTGCACAGACTACACAAAAGAATTTAATGAAATACGACACTAAGTTCTATTTGAACTGTCAGGAAAACTTGATTTATTTGGGGAAGAAGATATTAGAATATTTACTAGGAATAAACCACGGGCAGAAAGTGAATTAAGTACAAAGGAAAGGAGAGTAAGACAAGATTGCTTCTTCTCACTGGATCTATTTAACGTCTTCACCAAGGCGATCCTAAGATAACGAGAAATTCTACCAGAATTTATTATTGTTGGACACAAACTTAAGACACGAAGATGGTACTGTGTTGATGGCAGACACAAAAGAAACTAAGACAAATAATAAAAGAGAATGTATGTGTCTTTTGCCTTCCAAAAGCTAAGCAAAGTATTAAGAAACAGGGTATCTTTTATTAGAAATGAAGAAAAGAATACTGAACTACTATGTAATACCAGTCCTCCTATATGGCAGTGAATTCTGGGTAATTTTCTCACATATGAAGAGGAGACTTGAGACAGCAGAGATGTAGTTCTACAGAAGAACACTGAGGACACCACGGATAGAACATTTGAACAACGGGGAAGTTTTAAGGAAAATAGAAATAAAAAGGACACTTGCAAATAGAAACAGATAGGGAAAGTTGGAATTTCTGGGACGAGGAATGGCTTGGAGACATTGTCACAAAAAGGACATATTGAAGGCATGAGAGGATAATGGAAACATCGAATAACCGACCTATCGAGTCTGTGTAAATGGATAATAGAACAGGAACTAGGAGGAGTGCTAGTGATGCAAACATTGCTTAGAGAAAAAAGATAGGATACTGTAGAGTGTTATGATCGTCCATGTCCTAAAGGGACATGGAACATAAAAGATGATGAGTAAATCCCGCTTTGATCTAGCATTAAATTTTGTCATGCATTATCAAAATTCCTGGTTCAACAGAAAGAAGCCTGTTTTCTGTTCCACATAATCATTTTGGTCAATCTTTTAACACGGAATTAATCACTTGTCTACTTTTAATATAATGTTTACAAGCCCACTAAAAATTGACAATGTTTTTTGTTGGTTTGCATTTTTAGCTATGACGTTATCTGCAGACAAGCAGAAAGATGCATAAATTGTGTTTGCTGTTATTAACTATTTAAGTTGTAATATTTGAAACTTGGTCTTTTTTCTTCTAATTTATTTTCTTAACTCTGTGAGTTGCCAAGCCACTGACAGACAGGGATGCCTTTCATCTCTGTTTTTTATGCTAATTTTCCATCTCAGCCAAGCGTGCACATGACGTCTTTAGAGTGACATTTCGTGTGACGTCACACTACACATAAGGCTACTTCGAATAATGCCTGTGTGCGTCTCTGTGAACACATTTCATTTCCTATGTACAGATGCATATCACTCATTTGCGCATGCATTTGTAAAATAAGAAGTGAAATAAATACTTCCTTGAAAGTGAGTGTAATTTTAAAAGCTTCTCTCACTCTCCCGTGCGCCATGTGCCGCGTCTCTTCAGGACGTTAGTTGATAATGGCTCCGTAAACTTCCAGCAATATGCTTTTGTGACCACTTTTTCACTTTGTGATACTTATTCCTCATCTGTTTGTTCACATTTCTCTGTTTTTCTTGACTTCAGTGTGCCATGTGAGTGTTAAATTCTCCAAACATTCTTTCCTTCTGTGTCAAAATGATTTCAGCCTTCTCCTTCTGGATGTTATCAGCAGTGTCTTTGTGATCTCTATTCTTCTTAGAACTTTCTCATTTGTCATATGCTCTGTTCATGGTATTCTTGACATTTTTCGGTAGAACTTAATGTCAGCTACATTGTGTCTTCACTTGTGACATCAGATATCGAAATTAAATTCAATAAAAAAATCTAATTTCTCCATGACCAAGTAGATCATCTGGGAAAAATTATATTGGGTTACATGCTTAAATGATTTTGTAGTAGAGAGTAATCCTTGACATGACCAAATAGTGTATTAGTAGCGAAGTGAACATACACAGAAAAAAAACACTCTCAAAGCCGGAATTTGAACTCGGTTCATCAATTCTATTTTTTACGTTGATAACAGTTAAGCCAACACCGAAATTAAACTAGCTATGATTAACGTTTACAGCATCTGTTTGTTAACTGTATGATGCAGAGAAAAATGACGGTTTCTTAGTTGTAGGACTTCTAAAATGTATTTAGATGTTAATTTATCCCCCTCTTCTCTCTCTCAGTTTAGGTTTTCGTTTTTAAGTTCAAACTGGAAGTAATTAAACATGTGTTGTTAAAAAGCACACACATACACACACACATACACACACACATACACACACACACACACATATATGTGTGTGTGTGTGTGTGTGTAGGTGCGTGAGCAACCGGACATATTATTACCTGAAATTTCGATATGAAATTTTCAGTCGATCTGTGTATTAATAGTCATCGCTTAAGTGCATTGACGAGGAATGAGATTATGTTGAAAAATGAATATTTCTTGAGTAAAGAAATGCTTTACTTTCATTAGATTATAGAATTACTTATAGAATTATAGGCGGACATGCCTAAAGTCATGAAATAAAATGGCGCCATCGTACCTTGATGTCATAGAAATGATCTACACTATTTTTGCCCTGATATCTGGTGAGTCGGTGTCAGCATCGGCTAGACTGCTCGAGAATTATCGAAGTTCGAACCGGGCAAGATGGTGCAAGACGGATGGGAACTTCTTTTTCAGAAATTTTAAGGGCATTTGTCATTCCTAAATCTGCCAGGCAACGTGGGTACCGGTAATACTTAATAGAAAGCATTATCGTCCACCTTGGACAACGTAATGTTTGTCTACAAGTCCTTAATGATCGTGACCCAAGCTGTTTGGCTGGAATTGTCTATGGAAAGAGACTAGCGAGACTGACTCAAAAAATATCGGCATTCATTGCTATAGGTACAAGATATACTATCCAGTTGGACGGTTCAACATTCTTTAGCATCCATGGAAGTTAGAGGCCATTGTTAACACCACAGCACCAGACATAACGCCTTACCAGGGCTCGTGACGTGGGATCTTGGAAGACTGGCCATGCGTGGTGTGGTCGGAGGAGTAACGGTTTTATATGTTTGGAAATGATAGTAGGGTTCCAGTGTGACCCCAATTGTCAAGAAGACACTGTGCATCTGTTGGATCCACTGGTCTGCCTGTACGAATCATTGACTAGTGACCGCTAAGATGCCTTGCTTCGAGACCATTTACACCCATTCTGAGATCCCCTTGGCTCATTGCAGCAGGAAAATACACTGTATAATCAGGCCCAACTTGTCAAAATTGTTTTGAGTAGAATTCTTTCGATATATAACGTGGCCTTAGCATTCGTCAGGTATGAGCTCATCATGGAATTGATAGAACGTGTTGGACGAATATATTCACGTGCAAGATTTGTACGTAGACATATCCGGGAAGCTGTGGAGAGCCATTGAGATTGTACGGCTAAATATCTCTCCAGAAGACTTCAGACAATTTGCGGGATCTTCGCCAGTCTAGACCTATGTCCACATGGCCAAAATGGGCCATGTCAAATTTCAGGTGGGACACAGAAATGTTATAATTTTTACTGGGCCACCATAGTTGTATTTTTATTGGATATATTCTGTGTAAAATGGAAGTATTTTTTTACACTATTATAATTTCATGGGCTACTGAAAAAGTCTGGGTTCAAAGTGGGCCATGAGCTAAAAAGTTTGGGAACCGCTGTTCTAAACGACACTCGGTTCCTATCCAATATCATTTAGTACGTAAGTTAATATTCGAGAGGATTCTGATATAAATCTAAACAGATTTTAAGAATATTTTTGTAGGGTTGAGATTTTTTCAGCATGCCACTTATACTTATTGGGAAATGTTGGTACACTATAGACGGCCAAATCCTTTCATGTACACTTCTCGATTTTAGCATGCATACTTATTTGACCCAAGGGATGGTTTCAACTAAAAGTCTTTACGAGGAAAGGAAGTGCCTACCTCTTTTTTTGTTATATGGTTTTATTTTTCACAGTAGAAATTATCATTTGTAACAATTCGGCGTCAGTATAAAACTATTTATCTTATATTTAATATTATATCTAATATACGTTTAGTAAAATGTGTCCCGGATATCCTGAGGTGACTAGGAATAACGAAATATATCTCCCAGAAACTAAACAAAATATTAAACGATAAGAAAATATGGTGAGAATGAAGAGTGATGAAGTGTTGTGTAATATCCAATCTACTATATGGGGCTTACAACCATATCACATTGAAACATTGGTTCCCGTACGATCACCGAAGTTAAATAATGTCGAGCTTGTTTAGTACGTAGATGGGTGATTGCTTGGTAATTTAGGGGGCTTTAAGCTTTGGTGTGAAGGTGTTGTAATGGATGAGGGTTCGGAATTGTTAAGTCGTTGGGTTCGTTATATTGACTTAGGCCCAAATATCCTTGGAAAAGGTATGAATACACCTCTTCTCCCCCAGCTATGAGTTAATTAGTAAGACGTGTATCATTAAAAATTATTATCTAAAAAATTCTTACAATCTAAAAATATTTTCTGGTCTTAACGAATTTGCAAAGGGTTGATAATTCGTAGAAAACGAATCAAGTAAGCAATTCCAATTCCCATTGTGTTCGTTATGTTCACATACGTGTAAACACCTTTGGGAAAGGTATAAATCCACCTCTTATCTCCCCAGCTATGAGTTAATTAGTAAGACTTGTATCATTAAACCATTATTATCTAAAAAAAAAAATCCTTACAATCTAAAAAACATATTTCCTGGCATTAAATAACCTGCAAAAGGTTGATAAACCGTACAAAAAGAAACAATCAACCAATACATTTGGAATACTGGACAATCTCCTTACAGCGGCTGAGATATGGTTCTATGGTCGAATGCTACGAATACTATGGATGTGAGCAACGAGGTAGTTTTATGTTTAACTAATTGGATTAAATTGCTATAAGATAATAATTTAACAATATCTTAATTAATTTAATATTTTAATTAATTCATCTGCCAACCTTTTATTGTCGCTTTTGATCAAAACAACCGTTAAGCAAGCAGCTTTGATCGGAAAGTGCGGAAATAGCCGCCGACGAGATTTGTATTCGCATCCATGTGATATAACGAGCGGTCGTAGAATATAAACGATCGTAAACATTGCGATCTAAAGACGAATATGCAATGTGATCGGTACTGACTTGGAGTCTCGACTCCAGTCACTTTCTTACCGACGTAATGTGGCTTCCCACTGTCTTTTCTATAAATATTTTCATGGCATCTACTCTGCTGAGCTATTTTCACTGGTGCTCCGACTGCATGAATTTAAGTGTGTTACTAGGTTGGCATCTCAGTCCCACTCTTTTACTGTCGAAACAGTTAAATGTATCCGCCTCTTCTACTCTAACAGCTTCTTCAATAGCATTTCCCGACAGTGGAACTCCCTCCCTCTTACGTGCTTCCCTGATAACTATAATCTTCAAAAATTTAAATGTAATGTAAATCGACATCTACTGTTGCCTTGATCCCCATTCTTCTTTTTAACTTCCGCCGCTCTTTTTATCCTTTCCTCACCCAATACCCAGTCTTTTCCTTTACTTACACTCTCTATAGCCCCTTGCTTGGGGTGAAATGCTTAAAAAAACAAAAACAAAAAAAGAACAAAACAACGATGAGACGAAAGATAAACTTAAAATAAATAACGAAAATGCTTAATCTAAGAAATTTAGACAATTATAATAATTTACTATATGATTTTATAGTTGTTTGTTCTTTTCCCATAACTTATTAGATTGTTTGGGTGCCATGCTGATAAATTCTCCTACCTATGTCTCAGGACAACGAGGTGTATCTGATTGGCTATTTCTACTGAGCATTCAGTTCGATCCTCATTTGATGCCCCATACAAAATTTGACATTATATAAATGAACAAGGGCTGATATCTCATGAAATCAACGAATTATCCGACATCTTATAACAGATTGTAATGGGTTACCTGGTACTAGGAGTAAGGAACGATCTCTGACTATTATTATTGTTATTGAATAATCCGGTTGTCGAAGTTACTCCAACTGCCTCTGTTACCTATTTATAGGGGATTCATGCCTTTTCCAAGGACATTAGTGTACATTGAATACAAACTGTTCCAGCCGTTTTCATTCGCCGCGCCGTTAACAGTTTAGCCAATCGCAACTGTTGGCATCAGTTTTAGAAGAATATAAATATGCGTTTGGAACTTTTATTAAGTTTTTAAAACTGATATGTGTACGCACATACAGACATTAAAGATAATTACATAGATTTATTTGTCAGTCTCTTGAATATGGAAAGCCATGATCGCTCGCGTCCAGAAATGGCATGGTTATATAAAAGATGAAGATATGAATATTTATCTGCCTACGTTACTTCTGTACAACATCTGCTGCGTCAGGGCTACATACGGTTTTGAATTGTCTTACTCCAAGACTGGTTGCCAACAACGACTAGAGAGCCTGGTGTGTCCTGTTCATTAACCCATAGCTGGGAGAGAAGAGATGGATCATACTTTTCCTAAGTGTATTTGTGCGAAAGTGAATGTAACGAACTCAATCGGAATTCGAACTCGGCTACACGAGTTCTCTCTAACCTTTCCTAAATATCATGAATTTTATTTTATATTGTGCTTCTTTCTGAGGCCAGAGTGTATAAATAAACTTTCGTCGGTGTAATCCTCTGCTCTAGAAAAATATTAAACCAAAACCCCAGCGAGCCTTCCCCCTCTCCCAAGCAATACCTCTCCCTCGGGAAGGGTGTGGGTTTATTGCCCGGCGCCTGGGTCCACCAAAAGAGGAAGTGCCGTGGAGGCTTGGGCAACTTTTCCAGGGTATTGCCGTTAAACCTACTTTAAACTGACCTTGTGCCACATTCATTAGCGACGTGGGAACACTGAAGAATACCCTTATATGACAATTCCAGGGTAAAAAACAGAATAATTACAGAGAGATTGCCAAGACATCTTTACTATATCATATTTAATTGATTGATTCATTTTCTACGGTTTATCCCCCCTTTGAAGTTTATTTAAAACCAGAAAATATTTTTAGATTGTAAGAATTTTTTTAAAGACAATAATGTTACAAGTCTTACTAATTAACCCATAGCTGGGGGAGAAGAGGTAGATCCTTACCTTTCCCAATGGTATTTGTGCAGTTAATATAAAAAAAAACCAACGTGATTGGAACTTAAAAATTCCGAGCTATTGACAATTACACCGCACGTCTAAAGTTACAGAACCTGGTATTCCTATGCGGTGACCCATCTAGGTACTGACCAGAGTCAACTTTGCTTAACTTCGGTGTTCGTACAGGAACCGGTGTTTCAACGTGATGTTGCCGTAAACCTATGTCGCCTTTAAATACCATGATGCCTATTCGCGACTAAAGAATAAGCCAAATAGGCTGGGGGTTAAGTATAAACTATCCCCAGGACTTAGAAGCTAGCACTTTGATTCGAAACCATATCTGCGAATTGAAAAAAAAAAACAAAAAAAAAAAACAACTACTAATTTCACCCCATGAATAAGAGCCAACCCGCCTTGGAAACGTTAGGCGTAAGCAATAAATAAATAAAAGGAAAATAAAAAAGACAAGGAAAAAAAAGTCCTTGTTGCCTTCTCGGGTAGTGAAACTTTTGTTTCGTATAAAACCAGATGGGGGACGTGAAGCGAGTAAACAGTTCCATTGTATCGGTCTTTGTGAGTCTCTGCTGGATAGCGAGCAGTACCCCCGTGCTTCATCTGTCAACGCTACGCCGCATCGCAGTTACCCATCAGACTTAGTTCACGTCGCTGATCCCAAATGTGTTTGTTTTATATAAGTTTTTTTGTCTTTCAGTCTATTCTTTCTTCTTTAAACGTTTCTTAAAATCTATTTACCAGATTCTGACCACACACAACGAATACGGACAAGCAACATGAATTCTATAGAAAAGAGAGTCGGAGTTTAACAACAGAGATACCTTCTTTGTTACATTATTGTGTTGTGTTCTTGTTATGCAAATATATTACTTTGATATTATGTATGAATTATTTTGCCCTTGTTTATTTCTGAGAAAACGATTAGTGTGTTTAGCATTTAAGTTAATTATAGGTTTGCTATCAGGTATGTTTTAGCTCCCACCTCTTCTGTTATTTCTTTAGAGACCATCTTTTGTATAAAAATCGATATACTTTTATAGGAGATAGATATGTAACGTTATCAGCTGCAGATGGTGATACGAAATCAAATTTCTCATACGTAAAAGTAAATTTTATTCAACTCCGGACCTCACCAAATGCTGCCAACCAGTGGGTGTATGGTGCCGCGACCCTCTCCGAACATAGACCCTTACATTCTTGTGTGAATATAAAATAATATGTTCTCTTTGGGGTAGGTGATTATATATCTGTCATATGGAGTTTTTATCCCCCAATGTTTGCATATTGCAGGCGCAGATGAGCCAATCGCGTGTTTTCCTGTCGGAGTCAGCCAATGGAATATTGCAAGGTGATCTCTCAGTTCAACACTGGTCTTGGTTTCTCTAAAGAACACGCAGTGCGACGTCGATTCTGGCATGATCTGGGGGGAGACATATGATAAAGATAGGAAAAGATAGTTTGTGACCAATATGTTAAATCTATTTTTGGAAACGGAACTATTAAACTCTTTCTATTTCTCTATCTTTTATCTGTCTCTGTATAAAATAACTAAAACGGTTAGTTTTTAAGAGTTTGAAAGTAAACATTAAACAGTACTTTATATGGATATCTCTGTTTATGCAAGCACACAAATATATATTTGAACGGCCTTAAAATATGTAATCATCTTGTATTTGTACAATAAACGTATATACGTTAAGTGCACAATATCGCAGAATGTTAATGGTCAGTATATCCAGTATAATGAATGCGTTCTTGCGTCGGGTTATAGTTTCATAGATTTCAGTCAACTTGTCTAATTGTAAGTAAGGAAATGATGAAAAGACGGCTTTTAAATGTGATAAGAGCAATCATTTATTTTCAAGTCCAGCCACAAAAGATCCTTCAAGGATGTGTCGAAACGTTTGTATAGAGTAGTTGTTCTCAGTTTTTACCATCTTGCCAGCAAGGACAAAAAGCTCCACAAAGTTTTAGTTAACGTGTGCTACCTACATGGAAACATAAAAACAAATACCGTATATTTCCGCGTATATGACGACCTTTAAATCCCAAAAATCTCCCTTAAAAATTGGTGGCCGCCTTATATTATAATTTAAAAAAATGAAACGTTAAATTCTGAGTGATGTTTTTCAGTAGGCAAACCTCGGCATCGGTGTGATAACCAATATCGTACATGAAAAGATTCACATTATCAAATAAACTGATAATAAAACTATATCTACCATTAAATATTACTGGCATAACTTCATAATAAATAGCCTGTTCAAAGAATAATTCCATATCAATGAAATCGACTTGTAACCATGTAATCTCAGCTGAGAAAATATAAACATCGAATTATGATTGAATTCACAGCAATGGAATGTACTATTATTATACTTTTATTAGTGGTATTTATGATGAAGTAGAAGTAAATGGCCATTAGTACACCAGGCTGTTTGTAACTGTTTAGATATAGGAAAAAAGAAGAATCACTATTCGCAAGAAATCACGGGATGAAACGTAAACAAAACAATGGTTTCTCTTTTAGGGGACGTGTGTAGGAAAAACATGATATAGAACCGGTTTTGTTATTTCGTTTATTTTGAATTTCTAAGGATACAATAAGTAGTAATATTTCCAACATCATCTTTATATAATCAATACGCAATCGTCTTATAGAACAGGTATAAGATAAATTCATAAAAAATTGCTATATTTTTGATCTCGTCTTATCTAGAGATCTCCTTATATGCGGGAATATATAGTATTTGTTGTTCTGTCCGTCTGTCTAAACTAGTATAGAAATTCCTTTATATAAAGTATCGCGGAAGTGAGGAACATTTGATGTTTTTATTAGAGTAGTACATTGAGTGCATGGAAATCTGGAAGGATATAGCGATTTTCTAAGCGCTGCTTAGATGTGGCACAAGGACGGCAGTATGGAGCACCCAGTGAGGATTGAACTCACTACTCAGTCGTAATATGTCCTGGTGAGACAAACTTGCTAACCATTACACCACGTCGAGGTGCCCAATCTGGAAGGATATATCACGATTATAATCTGCACATCGTTAAAATTAAATTCTTTTTATTAGTCTTCGATAAATATCACACTTATTTAAATGTGCTAGTAAATATGCGTACATATTCTATAACATGTGATATAATGTATGCATTTATATGTGACCTGAATATAATGGTTCGCATGCGTGTTTGTGTAAGACCTTCATACGGATTTTTTTCAGCATTTTACATTTATTGTTAATTATCAAACTTCGCAGAAATCAAAGGAAATCTTCTTTGTGGAGAGTGCGTATGAGTATGTTTTGAAAAAGGAGATTTACTTTGGATAGAACGCATCGTTTTCGACTTAATTTTTCTGCTTATACACTTCTGCTCAAAATCTCAATACCAATGAAAATAAAGAAAAAATATAACTTTTACGTTCTTAGACTCAACCACTTATTTTAGCAGAGCTTGAAAAAAATGAAAACTATTTTAGCCTTTAATAGGGAAATTTTGAATACTGGGAAATTAGTATATTTTTTTTTATTCTCATTAGTCTTAAGGTTTTGGCCGGAAGTGTATGTAGAACTTTTATAACTTACACAATAGAATTTAAGTTTAGTTTAATAAATTGTTAAACTAAGTAGGCATAGTAAATAATCTAATTAACCCCTTTCCCGCCAATTATTTTGGGAAAAACGTTACATTTTCAGACGATTTTTTTTATTTGTTTTTAATATAGTAACTAAAAAACTGAGGCACCTTGAATTAACTGAGCGGTGGCTAGCACCTCTACCAGACGTATGAGTTGATAATTGGAATCGTTTTAAGCTCAGAAGGATATAAAAGAATCAGGATCGATGTATAAACCCGTCTGTTGCTGGCTTTTTAACGTTATATTTTGAATATGTTTATTCGTCGGTATCTGAAAAAGACACTTTCGGTAAAACGTATATACACGTCTACGTTGGGGAAGGGGTTAATAAAAGAAACGGTAACTTAATAGATATCTTTAGCTGATTTTTAAGCAAAAAATTCTTTTAGGATATTTGTCTAAATAAGGATCTGTTGGGTACTACCACCCAAAAAATGTTATTTCAGTTTATTCTAGGAAGCGTCTTGACAGGACGGTAAGTGAGACATTGAGATACGTAGACGTATTATGATAGCCAAGGACACATTCCAAAAGCTGGGCAGAGTATTGCGAGATAAGAGGATTTCTTTGGTAACAAAGAAAAGAATACTGAGTTGTTACGTGGCATCTATCCTTCTTTATGGCAGCGAACTTTAGACGATTCCCTCACAGATGAAGAAGAGACTCGAGGGGACAGAGATGTAGTTCTACAGAAGGATGCTAAGGATATCATGGACCGAGCGTGTCAGCAATGATGATTGCAAACAAGTAGAAGGCTTTTACTTAACATCAGAAAGAGGTAGCTGAAGTTTCTGGGACACATAATGAGGAAGGAGGGCCTGGAGAATCTGATATTCATGGGTCGAACAGAGGGAAAGAGAGACAAGGGAAAGCAGCGCGTGGCATAATTTTTGAGCTTGATGACAGAACATGGTCTGTGGGAGGAAACAGAGGGAAGGTCCTTGCTGAGAGCTGCAAGGGATAGAAGGAGGAGGAGAGCCATGATCATTTACGTTAAGAAAGGACATGGCACATAAAAAGAAAGAAGTAAAAGTCTGCATGAGGCTTTGCAAAGTCGTTTTTTCACATTTCTTCTTGTTCTTGTCCTTCTTGTTTTTGTTCTTGCTTTTCTTCTTCTTCTTCTTCTTCTTCTTCTTCTTCTTATTATTATTATTATTATTATTGAATGAGAAAGTAGCATACCGACAAGGTGAGAGACAGGGGTACAAAAAAGTTCAATATATCCATCATGAGATCCAGACTTATAAGTGCAAACCAGGCACATACATCACAGCCAAATGTACTCGATATAGTGAGAGGTTTTGATAAAAGCAGCGCATAACATTGCAGGTGGGACCCAGTTAGAAATACCCTCAGGTCGGGTAACCCAGCCAACTGTATCTTAAAAAATTTAAATGCAATGTCAATCATTATCTACTGTTTTTTTGATTCCTCTTTTTTATTGTTCCCGCTCTTTTATAATGTTTTCTTTTTTATTCTTTCACATTCAGTAACGCCTTGTGCCTTAGTGACTTTATTGTCATGCTTGGGGTGAAATGATTAAAAAAAAAAAAAAGAT